CACTTCACCTTATTCCACAAAATGATTTTCAATATTCTCAAAGTTGTTATATATTAGAGGTAAGAAAAACTGGCCAGTTGGAAAGGTAGATCCCTTCTATCATCTTAGAAATAAATATCTTGCAAGTCACCAAGGAGAGGAAATGATTGATCGTCATAAAGTCTATGCGTGGGTCTGGTGTCCGCTATTGTCTGGAGGTAATACTCTAGGTATCAGAAGAAAACAATCAAACACACTCAAAGTGGGTTAGCATTGTTCAGAATAACACCATGTTTGACATTTTTTAACACACAAATATTAGCTTGAATTTATTAAAGTAACTTCACAGGCAGCGGTTAATTTAAAGGTCACCCAAATCATAGAACCATACCAAATCATACCATCATCATAGAACCTGCAGAGGTTATAAAGTTTCATTGCACTATAATAATACAAACACTGCATTGTTTGCAGAACAATTTAACCATGGGGTTATATTTTACGAGGTTGTACTCCAAAATAAACATGTTTCTTCAATAATGTTTGAAACAGATAAAGACAATTCATCCTTTGAATGTCATGTATGCCAAAAAAACTATAAGAAAATAGGAAATAGGAGCAGCTTTCAGCCCCTCAAGCCTGCTCCTTATTCAACAAGATCGTGGCTAATCCTTCACCTTAATGCCACTTTCTAGCATTATCCTGATATCTGTTGATATCTTTAATATCTAGATATCTATCAGTCTCTGTCTTGAATCTAGCTTAAGTGTCCACATGCTTTGGGAAAGAGAATTTCCAAGATTCATCAACCTCTGAGTGAAGAAGTTCTTCTTCATTTCTATCTTAAGTGACCTCACAGCCAGGATAAGCATTCTTCCTGCATTTCCCTCATTGATCCTGTTAAGAATTCTGTAGGCTCTATGCAGTTTTGGATTTAGCCATCCTTAAATGTCTCACTTCCACATACACTGGAATGTGACTTCTCCTAGTTTGTTCCACTTTTACTTACTCGACCATAACCAGATAATACCCTGGAATGATTTATTTTCCCTACCCTGCACCTTTACATCAAGGAATATGTTTTGGTTCTCTACAATTTCCTATTTACATATTGCCGTTAATGATCTGATTTGAAGGCATAATGTCAGCATTATAAGTACACTGATGACAGCCAACTCTGGTTGTCATCACCACTGTCTAAGCATCCACTACCTCTGTGATGTGAACTGCTTGTCTGACATGCCCTCCAGTTCTGGATGAGATACAAGTTTATTTCAAAAGTCTCTTACTTTGAAACTCACCTCCTGAAAAGGTAGTGGAAGCAAGTCCTTGAATATCTTTTAGGCTAGGGAATTAAAGGGATAGGTGAGAATATGAATTTGAGGTGACGATCAGATCAGTCGTGATCTTATTCATTGGTAGAGCAGGCACAAGGGGCTGAATGGCCTACTCCTACTGCTAATTTTTATTTTCATATATTCATTTCTGCCCAAAGTAGCATGAAGTGACAAGGTCCAAATAATGTTCGGGATTATTCAGGTCAACTGCTGAAAACTCAAGAAGGTCTAGTGGACAGCTTGCTATGTTAAAATTAGATATTGCATGGAAGGCAGTGGTCAAGGAGAGAGGAACTGTGTCGGGCTGGGGGCAACAAGAAAAGAGATGCAGTTTTCCTTTGAGGCCAGGAGATGTATCCCACCAGAAACCAAATATCTTGCCATTTCTGAACTTACCATCTTCAAAGGGCTACTGGTTATACATTTGGCAGAAAAGCTCAAACTGCTAACATGTAACCAAAAATTGCAAGTGAGTTCTACCACCAGCACAGGACATGATTTCCAGATAGAAATCAGCCTCTTGCCTCATTCAGGTGGGCATGAAGTGTGACCATATCAAAGTCTGCCTGAACATTTCATTAGGTAGCTGTGGGGTAATCCAGAGGTGCCTGAACCTTAATCTACCCACCTCAACCTATCCTAATCTTCTGGGGACCAGGGTTTGTACCCACCAGGCATGTGATGAATTCAATGAGCAAATTTCAAAATAAAGATCAAATGATGAATCTATTTTCATTACATAAACATTTCGTTCACTGATGTCCTTCCCCTATCCAGCCTGCATTTTTCAATGAAGAGTGCAGGAGGGCGTGCAAGGAATAGCACCTGGCATACCTAAAAATGAACTGACAATCTAGTAAAGCCAAACAGGACTATCTATGTGTGAAATCGTATAAGCAACAAGTGATGTACAGAGCTAAGTGATTCCAAAGCCAGTAGATCAGACCTAAGCTCAGCAGCCCTGCCACATATAATTATGAATGGTGATGGACAATAAGGCAGTTCACTGGAGGAGGAAGCTCCACAAATATCCCTATCTTTTTCAATGTGGGAGCCCAGCACATTAGTGCAAAAGATAAGGCTAAAGCATTTGCAACAGTCTTCAGCCAGAAGTGCTAAGGGGATGATCTGTCTTGGCCACCTTCAGAGGTCCCTGGAATCACAGATGCTAATCTTCAGACAATTTCATTCACTCCACATGACATCAAAATGGAGGTACTGGATACTGCTAAGTCTGTGAGCCCTGACAACATTCTAGCAATATAATTGAAGCTCTGTACTTCTGAAAATGTTGCACCCCTACCCAAGTTGGTGGAGTGCAGCTACAATAGTGGCATCTCCCTGACAACATGGGAAATTTCTCAAAGTATGTCCTGTATACAAAAAGCAGGACAAACCCAACTTGACCAAATATTGTTACAGAGATAGTAGGAACTGCCGATGCTGGAGAATCTGAGATAACAAGGTGTAGAGCTGGATGAACACCGCAGGCCAAGCAGCATCAGAGGAGCAGGAAAACTGATGTTTCGGGTCGAGACCCTTCTTCTGAAGAAGGATCTCGACCCGAAACGTCAGCTTTTCTGCTCCTCTGATGCTGCTTGGACTGCTGTGTTCATCCAGCTCTACACCTTGTTATCTTTGACCGAATATTGCCCTGTTGGTCTACTCTCGATCATCAGTAAAAAGATGGAAACAGTCATAACCAATGTTATAAAGCAGAACTTGCTTAAAAATAACCCATTCACCTTCACTCAGTTTGGGTTTTGCCAGGGTCATTCAGCTCCTGACTTCATTATAGGGCTGGTTCAAACATGGACAAAACAACTAAATTCTAGAGGTGAGGTGACTGCCCTTTACATCACGTCCACATTTAACCTAATGCAGCATTGAAGGGCCCTAGCAAAACTGGAATCAATGTTTATCAGGGAAATTTTTCCACTTTTAAGAATCACACCTAGAACAAAGGAATGTCGCGTGGTTGCTGAATGTCTATCGTTTTAGTTCCAGGACATCTGTTCAGGAGTTCCTCAGGCTTGTGTCCTATGCCCATCATCAGCTGCTTCATCAATGACCTTCCCTCCATCATAATGTCAGAAGTGAGGGTGTTCTGTGATGATTGCACAATGTTCAACACCATTCATGATACCTCAGATACTGAAATACTTCATGTCCAAATGCAACAAGATCTGGAAAGGTGGAGGCTGACAATTGACAAGTAACATTCACACCACACATGTGAGAAGCAAAGTCTATCTCTAACGAGAGAGAACCTAACCACCATCTGTTGACATTCAATGGCATTACTGTCACTGATTAATCAATGATCAACAATCTGGTTGGGACCATTGACCAGAAAGAGCAGGTCAGACACTCGTAATACTGTGTTGAGTCACTCACCTTCTGACTCCCCAAAGCCTATCCACCATCAGGGCAAGTCAGGAGCACAAGAAAATAGTCTCCACTTGCCTGGATGAGTGCAATCTAACAACACTCAAGAAGATTGACACCATCCAGATAAAGCAGCTCACTTGATTGGTACCACATCTATAAACATTCGCTTAATCCAACACTAACTCTCAGTAGCTGCAGTGTGCATCATCTACGTGATGCTCCATGGAAATTCACCAAGGGTCCTCAACAACTCCTTCCAAAACCACAACCACTTTCATTGAGAGGGACAAGAGCGACTGATACAGAACTCCCTCCCTAATGGCAATGTGTGCCGACCTAAACCAATTTTTAATTTGTGTCTATTTTCTAATCAAAGCGTGTTCAGAGATATTATGGAACATCTGTAGACCAGGTGGCACTTGAACCTGGGTCTCCTGGCTCAGAGTAGGTACATTACCACTGGCACCACATAAACACTCTCTAAACCAAATGTATTGCAGTGGTTCAATAAAGCAGCTCACAACTACCTTCTCAAGGGCATCTAGGAATGTGCAATTAATGCTGGCTAAGTTGGCATTGCCCACATCCTGTGAATGAATAAAGAAAGGTTCCAATTAGCCTGCATTGTAGAGTAGAAGTAAGAAGATGTGTAATTTCTTTATGTTCCGCTTCAATGCAACTTAAGGCTCTGTATAGTGTTTATGAAGTTACTTTCAAGAAGTATTATGGTTTTACTTTCATTGATGAGTTGTAATTACCCTGCCCCTTTTCAGTTGTTCTAGCATGTACTGTGTGTTTCATTATTGAACAACCAATTCTTTTTCATTTATGTAAACATTAAATGCTCAATATAAAAGCAGCCATCAACTACATAGCAAGTAAGAAAAAAATGTCAATATTTCATTTGAAAATTGTTACAGAATGCGTACCTGTTGTCTTACTTTCATCTGAACTTTTTCTTTTACAATTAAAGTCAAGAGAATGAACTGAAATAGCTGGAATCATGTAATATTCCTATCACTGTTTTGGACTGACATGTATGTAATAAGTAATTCAGGATGGGTTGCAAAAGGCATTAATTGATTTCCTATTGTCATTGTATAACGTGATGACTAGAAGAAAAAGAATTAGGTGAATTTTAGTCATTTTTAGGAGCAATTCCTATGTTGATTTTCACTAAGTGGATTGAAATCGTAATGAATTATGTGCTGACCCATTATATTGCAGTGCTATCCTTATGTTGTTTACAGCATTAAACAAAATTACACACTGCTTTTCTTTTTCTTAACACAGCTCACTACCATCTCAGGGAATGAATTTCTTCTCCATTCAGATGATGATAGTATACATGACTGGTACCAGGCCATCAAACACGTGATTGACAAATTGGTGCGTATAATGCTTTTAACTCTTAACATTAACTAAAATAGTTTGCCTTGGAAACAAATGAAAGGAGTTGTATATTTGTTCAATCTGTCTTAGAAGTTGCACAATAAACATTTTTAGATTTTTTGCCAAAAAAATACTTTCCCATATATTTCCTGAGCTTCTCAAGCTCTGATCAGCCCCTTTAGACCATGTTTCTTTTGTTTATAGCTCCCTGTGGCATTGTTAATCCCTTTTTGCATATTTTCTATAAAATGGTTTGGCATGATGTTTTTAAATTTAAAACAGACCTGAAATGACTCAAATAGGACATAATGTGCATTTGTAGTGTGCATCAAGTTCAGCTATATTAACATGTTACCCATAAATTTGTACTCTGACTTTACACTACCATCAGTGAATTAACACTTTGAAATTCATTCACAGGTAATTATTTATAAATGACCATGAGTTCTTCATAGTTGACACAAACAGACATACCGATTCCTATTGTGAGCCCAAACTTTTCCATTTTGATTCAATGAGATCATGTATCATTTTTAGCTGATGGTAATTAATATCTTTAAAGTTTACAAAAATATTTTCAATTGAAGCGATTCTGCAGGAGAAGCACCAGAATCTATTCCGTGTTATTTATCCTTGTTTTTTTTTTCTCTCTTGCAACACACTCACAAGCAATAGAATTTAAGAAAGAACTAAATTAATTAAGTCAGGCATTAAACTGAAATAAGTTCCTTCTTACAAGAGTTAAAGTTAGAAAGATGAAAGGACTTTCATATATACAGGCAAAATGGTGTGGAAACACCAAAATAAAAACACAAAATGCTGGAAACCTTCAGCAAATCAGGTAGCTTTTCCCCTTTACATGTTAGCCAACCTGCTGAGTTTCTCCAGCATTTTCTCCATTTAATTGCATTTATGTAGTATTTTCACAATCCCAAGACAACCCAAAATGATTTGGAGATGATGAATTACTTTTTTATTTATTTCTCCTAATTTCAGAAATATAATATTCAACTTATGTATTGCAAGCTCCCCAAAACAAGATAATGACAGGGTATTGAAAACAAAAAATGCTGGCGATCACAGCGGGTCGGGCAGCATCCATGCAGAGAGAACAAGTTAATGTTTTGAATCTAGATGAGACTCAAAACATTAGCTTGTTTTCTGTCAGTGGATGCCGCCTGATCTGCTGTGATCTCCAGCAATTTTTGTTTTCAATACAGATTCCAGTGTCTGCAGTAATTCGCTCCTACATAATAACAGGGTAATTTCTTTCCTTAGCTGTACTTTTTGAGGTATAAGTATTGGCCAGGATACCGAATGTCTGTCCAGATTTTGTGCTTGAGTGAGACATGAAACTACAACTTTCTGACTCAAAGGCATGTGTGTTTTTTTTACTGATATTTTTCAGCCACCTCTTAACCATACTTTTCATTAATTGTAATTTTGGCTCAGTGGTTAGCACTGCTGCCTCACAGCGCCAGGGACCCAGGTTCAATTCCACCCTCGGGCGACTGTCTGTGTGGAGTTTGCACATTCTCCCCGTGTCTGTGTGGGTTTCCTCCAGGTGCTCCGGTTTCCTCCCACAGTCCAAAGATGTGCAGGCTAGGTGGATTGGCCATGCTAAATTGCCCGTAGTGTTCAGGGATGTGTAGATTAGGTGTGTTATGGGGGGGATGGGTCTGGGTGGGATGTTCTGAGGGTCAGTGTGGACTTGTTGGGCCGAAGGGCCTGCTTCCACACTGTAGAGATTCTATTATTTATGATTTAATACTTTCAGCCTATTAGTTCCTATATTTCAGACACTCCTGTATTTTGTAGAAGTCTGGTCAAAGTGTTTGACACAGCAGGCCAGGCAGCATTCGAGGAGCAGGAAAGTTGATGTTTCAGGTTGGGACCCTTCCAAAACGTCAACATTCCTGCTCCGCTGATGCTGCCTGGCCTGCTGTGTTCCTCCAGGCCTGTACTGTGTTGCCTCTGACTCCAGCATCTGCAGCTCTTGCTATCTCTGGTCTGAGTGTTTGTCTTAGTTAATTTGCAATTTTATTTTATAAAGATCCTCTACAACAATTGATATTAATGATAATATAAAGCATAATGTGATCATAAACTTTTGCATGGTTTCTGATGTCTGTGTTGGTTAAGAAAAAGCAATTCATGGTGTAGAGAACTTACCTATTAAAGAAGAGTGGAAAATTGCAATGAAATAAATTGTCACATCAGGTGTGTTGTAACTTTTTAGCTTAATGAGGTGATGAGCATTGGGGGTGATAGCAGGTTGCAGGTTGGTGTCCAATTTGGAAAATTCAAAGGTGGAGTTTTATTTCTGCTCTCAGTGCCTAATCCAATGAAATAATATAAATTGCATCACCATGCTGCATCTCAGAAGTTCATGGTGCAGTCCACCAACTTGCATTCTTCAAAATATTTCTCTTCTCCCTCTTTCCCACTCATCAACACCATCTCACAATCAAGAGATTTAATCAGAGAGGCAGTCAAAAGGGTCAGTCAATGGTGCTTTGGAACAGTTAATAGATGGTATGCAGGATATGTTAGTTTTTTTGGATGTTGGTTTTCCCTCTTTTCCTTTAGAGGTTTCACTTTTTTGGTGCCATCATCTGTGATCTCACAATATATGGGAATTTGCTATGTAATAAATCAAAGGCAAAAAAACCTTAGTCACAGTGTGTTATTGCACCTACTTTTATTCTTCCATAATTTTATTTAAAATAGGCCATTGACACATGTACTATAATTATAGTTTTGCAAATGTGGTCATGAATATACCTCCCTTTTTTCCCTATTGGTATCTATTCATGACATTGTGGTCAAAGAAGGGAACTTCCACATCAGCAATCAGCATCTGGAAAAGCTCAAGCAGTGAAGAACTGAGTAGGAATGAGGGTGAAAACAACAGCAAATCCAATCCAAAAGAAGCAAAGCCTGAACACAGAAAATCAATAAGTAAGTATTTTAGCATTGCAACATCTCATAAGTAAGTTCTTCTTTGGAATGTCATGTGGAATCACATTCTGCAAAGTACCTTTTTTTTCTATTTGTTCATAAGAAAATCACTAGCAAAAGCAGATGTTTATTACACGCCCCTAAATGCCCTCAAGAAGGTGAACCATTGCTGTCCATTGTGGTATTAGGAAGGAAATTCCAGAATTTTGACCCATTGGCAGTGAAGGAACAGCAATATGGTTCCAAGTCAGGATGATATATTGCTCGGAGGGAAAAGTACAAATTCTGATGTTTGCATTCATCTGGTAGCCTTCGAAATGATAGCATCATGGAAAGTTGACAAGCTCCTGCATGTTGTGGAAGGTACATCATAATGCCTCAGGGGTGCCAATGGTGGTTTTTGTGATATTCAATGTTGCTGCATGGGTTTCTATTAAGCAGGCTGCTTTGTTTGGATAATGTCAATATTCTTAATTGTCGTTGAAGCTGCACTCATGTGGAAAGAATTCCATCACATTCCTGACAGGGTCAGGATTGAGGAGTCAGGAGCTGAGTTACTAGCCACCAAATTCCTATCCTCTGAGTTGCTATTGTAGCCAGAAACAAAATGGAAATTCACTTACTACAGATCTTTTAACAAAGAGAAAGACCAATTACCAAATTATTTTGATGATTAGATTCCACATTGGATCTCAAATCCTCTTCCTCTTTTTTTTATTTTTGTACCAGGTAATTATATTTATTTTGTTTAGTTAAGTCACTCTTAAAGATTGCATTGCAAGTTTGACAATATGTTGCTAGAAAAGACATAATTTGCTAATTTAGATGAGTGGAAGACCTCATGACATTGAGAAATAATCCAGCATCCCCTAAAGGTCTGAACTCTGAATCCTTCATTTAAGTTGTTTAATTTATCATCTATGGCAACCACCAATTTTCTGCTCAAAATAAATTGCTGATAAATTAATATTTGACTCTTTGGTAAAATTTGTGTCAAATTCACTATTCAAGGAATAGTTATTTATCTCTTCCTCCTTGAAAAAGTGTCCACCAAGACCAAGCACAAATCCCCTCCACATTGCCGACCCCAACGTAACCCCCACGCCCCCATTAACACTCCCAGTCTTCTCCTTCCATCCCTCAACCACCCGCTGTTTACTATTCTAAACAAAAGAGAAGCAACAGTAGCTAATGATAACCACTGATCTTTCCCGAATTACTTAAAACAGTTATGGAAATAGGAACCTTTCCTGTTTATGTTGGAAAATCGCAGTGAAGACAACAAAACCAGACAAACTAATCATCTGAAAAAACGTGCAATGCTTTGCTCAGCAAAAGAATTCTCTGGCTCTTTTATGTTCTGTTGTGCTGCATAGAAACGTTCAACATTGTGATTCCTTACTGCTGGAAGTTGAAAGTATTCCTAATCCCCTATAGTGTCTGCTGGGACTGTGGATAAGCAAATAAGCACTTCTAAACTGTCAGTGTTCATTCTCATTTAGTTTACCTAAGATATTGCAGACATCAGCACCAAGGTCAAAGTTTGTTGCTATTATTTAGCAGATTCTGCAAGGGCGTTTGTATAAATCTAGGTCACTAGACAGACAATTTATTGGTTAGGTGAAACCATTGCAAATAAATTATATCAGACTTTGAGGTTCTGTCACAGGTTCCACCATTTTCTAAATCTTAGCTGATAAGTTGATACTGTAACTGACTTTCAAAATGTACTTAACATAGAAGCACCAAAGAGATATATGAAGGAGAGCAACATGTGATCTAATAAAATGAGCTAAATTAGCTTTGTTGTAACAATTCTTATTGCGATGTATTTGTAACAGAAGTGTAGGTTGTAAAATATATTTTAGTCTAGTACTACCTGGTATAAAGAATAGACGAAGCAATAAACATTGGTGTATTCTGTGGCACTGTCATCAATCAACTTAGAGGAGAATTCCATTCCAACTCGAATTAGGAATAATCTAGGAGACTTTTTAAAATCATTTTCGATAGTTCCTCTTTTGTATTGTTTATGACACCAAGCTGTTTTTATAGAATTTTTAAAGTGTTATATTTTTTGAGTCTTATGGACAAGCACTGTTTGATCACTTCTTGCCCTTGGTGGCAACTGCAGTGATGAAAAACTATTTCTGACAAACTTTGATGAATTTGGTCCTTCAGACAATGCTGCTAATGGTTCAAGGTAAAAGCATCTTGTTGAGTTCTAAACAAAAACAATTAAGCAACTATATTCTGAAATAATACTTTTATGCTTTGTTATAACAACAACAACTGTGTTCAATTGAACGTAAACTAACAGAATTTGTGATGATGGATTAATGTTTTTGCATTTTTATACTATTTAAGAGCATGGTGGCAATTTTATATTTATTTTGGCTTTAAATAGATTCTGAATCAAGTGGAAATGATTATTCCAAAATTATCAACACCATTTTGGCCTAAGAAATAGCAGCGCAATTGCATCCTTAAAAAGAAAACATTTTTATCTGCACTACAAATGGATGTGTTTCTGTGATTGCAAACCTCTCATTGCTCATTATGATTAAGATTGCAGTTCTGAGCCAGTTGGGTGGCATGGTGGCTCAGTGGTTAGCACTGCTGCCTCACAGTGCCAGGCACTTGGTTCAGTTACAGCCTTGGGCAACTGTTTGTTTACACATCCCCCCTGTGTCTGCATGGGTTTCCTCTGGGTGTTCCGGTTTCCTCCCACAGTCCAAAGATGTGCAGGTTAGGTGGACTAGCCATGGGAAATGCAAGGTTTACTGGGATAGGGCAGGGGTGGGTCTGGGTAGGATGCTCTTTGGAGGGTCAGTATGGGCCGAATGGCCTACTACCACACTGTGGGGATTCTATGATAATCTTCAATACTGTGGTATATTTCTGAAAAATTTGATGATGTGTCAAATGAAATGTTACAAAGCAAGGTAAGGGCACAAGGGGCCAGAGATCATGTATCAGCATGGATGAAGCATTGGTTGACTAACAGTTTGCAGACTGTAGGGGTAAATGATTGGCTAGCTCTAAGTAGTAGGGTACCATAGGGATCAATTATTTGCAACTTATATCAATGACTTGGATGGAAGACTGAATGCATGGTAACTAAATTTGCTGATGATTCCAAGGTGGGTTGGATTTGCAAGTTGTCAGGATGAGGTGAAGAGTATTTAAAGTGATATGGACAGGTTATGTAATTGGGCAAAAAAAAACTAGGTGAACTATAAAGTGGGAACATGTGCACTTGTCCACTTTGGCAAGAAGGACAAAGTACAAAATATACTATATAAACATAGACTGCGTGACTTAGTGGTATAGAGAGATTGGGTATCCTGACACATAAATCACCAGAAACTAACGAACATGTACAGCAAATGAATAGGAAGGCAAATGGAATATTGGTGTTGATTCCGAGGGCATTAGAGAATAAAATGACAGTCGGTTCTGCTATAACACGTGTGCCAGCAACGCAAATTGGCTATAATGCAACTGATGAATAGGGGAAACGCTATTTCTAAAACACAAACTTGTGTTGGCTATAACGTGATCCCAAAGGTGTTATTTCAAAGTGTTATTTCTACCCCCAAACACATCCTCTCCCCTTCAACCCATGGACCAGGATGCTATAGCAGCTTTTAAAGCTTATTATTTAAGGTGCACATTTAAGAGGCTGAATGCAACCACTGAGGGGGATAAGGACAGTGTTCTTCAATTTTGGAAAGCTTTAAAATCAAGTATGCAATTGACATTATTGTGAAGGTCTGCGGTTATGTCAGCTAGGACTGCTTGCATGCAGTTTGGCAGAAACTTCTCCCAGATTGTTTTACAAGATTTTAAAGGCTTTGTTCCATCAGAGGAGCTCCCAAGAATCAAAGAATATTGTGTTGATCTTGCAAAGCAACTTGGATTTGAAGAAGTGGAGAGTGAGGATGTTGAAGAGCTGCTTGAGTCCCACTATGAAGACTTCTCTCCAGCTGATCTACAACAACTTGTCACTGAGGGGGAAGTGGAAGCTGGAGGTGAAGAAGATGAAGTCCAGGATGCAGCATCACAAGGGCTTTCCACTTCTGTTTTAGAGATAGTAGGAACTGCAGATGCTGGAAAATCTGAGACAACAAGGTGTAGAGCTGGATGAACACAGCAGGCCAAGCAGCATCATAGGAGCAGGAGGGCTGATGTTTTGGGCCTAGACCCTTCATCAGAAATGGGGCTTCGCAGTGGGGTTAAAATTGTATCAGAGATAGTAGGAACTTTCTGATGAAGGGTCTAGGCCCGAAACGTCAGCCCTCCTGCTCCTATGATGCTGCTTGGCCTGCTGTGTTCATCCAGCTCTACACCTTGTTATCTCCACTTCTGTTTTGTCTTCTACCCTCAGGGAAATTGAGAAGCAGTCGCAGCTCTTAGAAGACAATGATTACAATGCATAATGGAGCAGGGTAGCAGTTTGTGGATTAAGTTCTTATTTGGCACCCTATGAACAGCTTCTTCATGAATGAAGAAAAAGGGCAAAGCAGCAAAAACTGGATTTCTTTTTTAAGCCAACCCCAAAGAAACAGTCAGAAGACAACGAATCACAGCCATCCACTTCTGGATTAACTATTTTTCATACTAACTCTGCAACTACAACTGCACCTGAAGGTGATTATGATGATGGTGAAGACCCTGAGTCCCTGCATTAGCACCAGAGCAACCTCAAAACTTCCTCCCCAATTAAGTCACCTTGACGTTTTTTTTCAAGGTAAGGTGTCAAATTTACTTTTATTTCATTATTAGCTATGAATTAAACATTTATTCAAATTGTGCTATCCTTTGTCTTAGGCTTTTGAGTGATTTTTGAGTGATTTTGGATGATATCTCTGGTGGTCTGGCCCGAACCCTGCTTTTCCCATAGGCCCGTTATTTCTCTGGTGCAATTTTCTATGAAGTGATGTTGCGCAGGAACATAACTGTCACGTTATAGCAGAATCAACTGTAGGGAAATTTTA